GGGGGGGGCCAGCACGGCACCGCAGCAAATCCCAATTTTGTTTTCACTGCAACCTGGAAAATCCAGTTGACCCAAGCAATTGTAACGGGCCAGCCCTGGCACTGAGTAAGCAATTCTGCTGCTCCTGCACAAACAGTAGAGTCACAGTGACTCTAATTTGTCTTGGATCTGCAGGGGTATTACAGCAAGCATGACCCCGCATATACGCAAGGAGCAAAAATCTGCCAAGGGTCACTGTTTAGGGTTCATTCTCACTTGAGAATGTCCCAAGTAAGGAGTTATTGTTGTTGAAACCTAGAAGTGCCAGTGGAAACGTGGAGTTTGAGATAGTTTCTGAGTCTGCCTCTTACTGCTCTTTTCCTAGTGCTTTGACATTTTTCTTAGAAAGAAATGATAACATTGAGTTAATTCTAGAGGAGCAAGAATCAATAAATACAGTACAGGATATCTGGAGACCAGTAAAGCTGTCACACTTTTTGTTGCCTTTCAGAATGCCTGATCCGGACACACCAGTGGCCTCCTGAGAGTAAAAAGCTCCCTGCTCTCAGTCATGGATTGTCTTCCATCACTGAAAGATGCAGCTGCTGACTCACCACTAGGAGACATTCACACACATCCCAGCTACAGACCAGATTACAGGTAACACTTCTTCTATGTATTTACTTTATTTTGATGGGAAAAATAGCAACATAAGGTTTAAACTAGTTTATTAATACACCATTGTTATGCTACGCAATGTATCTTTCCATGTCAATATTTACACAGTATGTACAACCAGGAACTTACCTGCTAGAAACTCTCAGTATAGCAGACAGGGTTTTTTCATCATACGTTAAAACATCAACAGGCAAAGCTGCACCAACCTGTGCAGAAACAGAGCACTGTTGGTGTGGAGGAGTAAAAGGCAAGAGACTGAGTTTTCTCCAGCTGGACCTTTTAAAGTTGTTTTAATAATGCCCACCTCATATACAGTACTTTGCATCCAGAGATCTCCACTGGCTCTACAAAGGATGCCTGTATCATTTGTTTCTTTTTTCAGTTCAAAGAACTGGGGGAACGGGTGAAACAACTTTCCCAGGTCACCCACCAGTCCAGTGGCAGAGCTGGGAACATAAGTCAGGACATCCTGTGTTGCAGTCCAGCGGGCTGCGTTGCTTGCTGTGGTTTTCCCTTCGAAGCGTAAAGGACAGCTCAGCTGGACTGCGCTGCTCTGACGCAACTCCTGACTACGGGCGTTGAGGCAGGAAATGCAGCAAGGCCCCGAGTTAAACTTTGCCTCTTAAAGTCAAAGGCCAAAGTAAAGGGCAAAGAGACAGGAGAAGCAGGAAGGAAGTGGATGAAGACAGAAGGAGGCAAATCATTTTACATGGTTCCTTCCACCCTGTGCCCTAGAGCCAGCCCTTCCCACCCTCTGCTTTCAGCACCTTCCTCAACATAATTAGGCGCCACCATCCACCAGGTTAGAGGTCCCAGGGGAAAGCAGAAGCTGGGACCAAGCACCAGGGGAGCCCTGCCCACGTATGCCCTCGACCCTGTTTAGTTTCAGAGCTCTCAGCCTGAGGCCCTAGACTGGCCAGGGGTGTCAAACCCAGGGGCTGGACCCGGCCGTGGAGCCACCTGCTGCAGCCCTGGGTGGTGCCCGGGGCTGTGCCGGCAGCGCGGGGGCGGGTCCGGCGCGAGGGCCCGGAGGCGGCCGCGTCACGCACCTCTCCGTGCAGCTCCTTCAGGGCCGAGACGATGAGCTGCTTGAAGTGCGCGGCGTTGAGGCGGACGCCGCCGTCCGGGAACTCCCTGCAAGGCAACGCCCGGGGGCTCCGTCACCGGCCCCACCACTCCCGCCCATGCCCAAGCCCGAGCCCCCGCCACCCTTACACTGAGACCCGCAGGTAGTGGTGCCCT